AAAACAAAAGAGCTAAAGAGCCACTAAATTAGTCTCCCCTAAGTGAAATGACACTTGTACAGAGCTGTTCAGTACTGTACTGTACATTACACAATGACACTTGTACAGAGCTGTTCAGTACTGTACTGTACATTACACAATGACACTTGTACAGAGCTGTTCAGTACTGTACTGTACATTACACAATGACACTTGTACAGAGCTGTTCAGTACTGTACTGTACATTACACAATGACACTTGTACAGAGCTGTTCAGTACTGTACTGTACATTACACAATGACACTTGTACAGAGCTGTTCAGTAGTGTACTGTACATTACACAATGATCAATGTTCACTTCTTGCAGTACAGTATCATCAGTCCCACTGAGAGTAAGGGCCAAACAGAACAATAAGAAATACAGTTGGTCCTCGGCTCTGTACAAGTTCACATAATGCCAACTTAGACTTGTGCAAAGTTAGTATATAGTGGCAAAATTCTAACGGCACAAGGAGGGTTCAGCTATATGTATTATTGGTAAGTTGGTGCACAAGTCACATGCCTGACACAGAGATCTGGTGCGGACACTCAAATACAGAACAACACTCCCTCTTCAAGAATCGTCACATCATCTTTAATATGTACTTTTGGGATTATGTTCTTGGTGATCATTAACATTTATGTGAATCCTTTAGCACAGTAGTCTCCGTCCTCGTGTAACACTGAAGCTTCCAAACTTTTCTTCTTAAGTGCAAAAGGCAAACAATATTTAATACAGTAGTTTATAAACTTTCCATTAAGTTCATAGAATATCAAGTAGAGAAACAATATATTAGCTTTAAAAGCTTTATGTAATATACTAGATAGGGTTCCCCAGCTGTGACCAGGGCTGCCACCCTCTTCCAATATCTCCCCCATCACAAAATTTAATGTTAAGAAGCACTGAAAAAGCTCTATGGAAAATACAACCTCTGTTTCAGACTTCACGTCCTGAGAATCGCATGGGAAGGGGCCGTTGCTATAAATGCTGATAGTTCTTAGTGTGGCACTGGGGCCAGCCACGACTGGCCTACGTCACTCCCATACCCCCCCTGTGTCATCTTGGTAACTTGGGTGAGTCTAGCCTTGAGAGTCTCAGCCAAAACCCTAGACAAATATGCAAGTGGTAGGATCTACAACACGTATCATTACGTGCATTGCAACACTGATATTATACACCTCATCCACACTATATATAAAACACAATTTTATCTCATATATTTGTTAGGTTAGAAGAGGATTAGATTAGATTGGGTTATGTTAGGTTTGTTTCAATAATTGGGATATATTGTGGGGGGGGGAGGTATATGTAGTAGTGTAGATAGTTTCTCAGGACTTAGACCCAACTTGTTTCAAGGAGACAAAACAACATCAAATCAATTTGATTTGGCAAGACATTTATCATTCAAGTCTGACTGTTATATTGTGCAGTATTAACCCATGTTGTCTTCCTCCTCGGCCAGATATATAACCTTACTGAAGACATGTTCTTTAGCTTGTTTTCTTAATACATTCTTCTGTTAGTCTGACTAACACATGACAGTTAGTCTGACTGACACATGACAGTTAGTCTGCCTGACACATGACAGTTAGTCTGCCTGACACATGACAGTTAGTCTGCCTAATTACCAAAGGAAGGCACCAAGCTTGGGAGAGTATTTAGCAGTGACTGTGACACAGAACATTAGTTTACCATAAATATTCCTTTGTTAGTCTATGTTGCTTTACCTCACATCCCGGCCCTCACCTTGCCCGACACCTTGATGAGCCACTCAGGTAAACCCATACATGGTTGTGACCCCAGTGTTAACTACAGGTAAACCCATACATGGTTGTGACCCAGTGTTAACTACAGGTAAACCCATACATGGTTGTGACCCCAGTGTTAACTACAGGTAAACCCATACATGGTTGTGACCCCCAGTACTAACTACAGGTAAACCCATACATGGTTGTGACCCCCAGTTCTAACTACAGGTAAACCCATACATGGTTATGACCCCCAGTACTAACTACAGGTAAACCCATACATGGTTGTGACCCCCAGTACTAACTACAGGTAAACCCATACAAGGTTGCAGTACGATGTTAGTCAATAACCTCTACCATATACAATGTCAGTTGAGCGACGTGAACGTCCATATCCTCGCTACACATTTACAACAACAAAAGGCTTAAAAATTACAACACTGTAGGTTAAGTAGAGACTTTTTGTATTTCTAAATAATTTATACAAAATAATCAGCATAAGGCCATACATAAAATATGATTTGGTTCGTGTACACAATAAAGTACGAAGTCATAGCTTTTTGTTTCTCTTCCAGTGCTCAAGAACATCCATAAAGAATGCAACGCTGCATCATCTAAACATATTTACAGTTCCAATTGTTAGACAAACACCACGTCTTGTAACCTCAACCTTCTCTCTCTCTCTCTCTCTCTCTCTCTATCATGGCTGGTATGACACCTGTGTCGGTGCCTCGTACACTCGAGTGATATAGCAGCACCACCACTCAGTATACACTGTGTGTCACACGAAGGAGTAGGCACCACTCCATCAAAAATAGATATTTGTGAAGATTTTACAAGAGCGCCGCCTATTAAAGTAACATTTTTTAAAGATTAATGCATGACTCAAACTGGGGCCCAACAAGTTCAAGGTCCACTTGCTACCACAGTTCCTTGATGAGAACTATGGAATAGGGACTAAGGACTGACAGTATACATGGCTAGGAAAAGAAACTACTGGTAACACAATTCTCATTTTACACAGTGCGCTCTCACACACTCGGGAACAATGATAACATTTTACACGGTGCGCTCTCACACACTCGGGAACAATGATAACATTTAAACGATGCGCTCTCACACACTTGGGAGCAATGATAACATTTACACGGTGCGCTCTCACACACTCGGGAACAATGATAACATTTACACGGTGCGCTCTCACACACTCGGGAACAATGATAACATTTACACGGTGCGCTCTCACACACTCGGGAACAATGATAACATTTACACGGTGCGCTCTCACACACTCGGGAACAATGATAACATTTACACGGTGCGCTCTCACACACTCGGGAACAATGATAACATTTACACGGTGCGCTCTCACACACTCGGGAACAATGATAACATTTACACGGTGCGCTCTCACACACTCGGGAACAATGATAACATTTACACGGTGCGCTCTCACACACTCGGGAACAATGATAACATTTACACGGTGTGCTCTCACACACTCGGGAACAATGATAACATTTACACGGTGCGCTCTCACACACTCGGGAACAATGATAACATTTAACACAGTGCATTACAAACTAATAATCTCTTAAGACTGAGGTTCACATTGACAACAAATATAATATTAAGAGCCGAGGTTTAAGATCTACAAGACCCCCTTGTTACTGCCTTTAGTACACTTGGTTTCATTCTCCACTCAAAATCAGGGCTCCTGGGCAGTGTAGAAATGGTTGGGTACATTTCCTTCCGCCTAATGCACCTGTTCACCTAACAATAAATAGGTACCCGGGTTGTGGTGGGGTTGTATCCTGGGGGGGTAAAAGTCAGTGGTCTGACCTTGAGAGGATCTTGATACAAGCCTAAAGTGTAAATGAATGAAACAATATCTATATGTGTGTAATTACCTAAGTGTAGTTACAGGATGAGAGTTACGCTCGTGGTGTCCCGTCTTCCCAGCACTCTTTGTCGTATAACACTTTGAAACTACTTACGGTTTTGGCCTCCACCACCTTACTTAACTTGTTCCAACCTTCTAACACTTTGCAAAAGTTAACATTTTAATGTTTTTTGGGGCAGCTTTGTTTAGTTAGTTTAAATCTATCACCTCTAGTTCTTCAAGTTCCAGGTTACAAGAAGTTTTCTTTTGATCAATTTTGTTGATTCCGTTGCTATTTTATATGTACAGTATTTATCATATCGCCTCTTTTTCTTCCATCTTCTAGCTTTGGTATATTTAATGCCTCTAACCTTTCCTTATAGCTCTTGTCTTTCAGTTGCAAGAGCCATTTTGTTGCATGTCTTTGCACTTTATTCAGTTTGTTGATGTGCTTCTTGAGATACGGCCACCACACAAAGGTTGTGCATTCCAACTTTGCTCTCACAAACGTCATGAACAATATCTTTAATATTTCATCATCCATGTATTTAAGAGCAATTCTGAAGTTGGAAAGCATACATGGAGAGGTTTTTGGAGGTTCTTCAACTCCTAGAGCCCGGCCTGAGACCAGGCTCGACTTGTGATAAATTGGTCCAACAGGCTGTTGCTTGAAGCGGCCCGCAGGCCCACATATCCACTACAACCCGGTTGGTCTGGTTGGTTGGTTGGTCACAGCATAGGCTCCTCGCACAATGTTCTTTATGTTGTCCTCAGGAGACAGTTTTCTGTCCAGAACGACCCCTACATGTTCGTCTTTATCAGAATTCTTTAAAACATTTTCACATACTGCAATCTGTAGGTTGTGTGTGACCTATTATCTCCTGCTCAATGGGGTTCTGAGAGTTCTACTCCCCAAGCCCGGCCCGAGGCCATTCTTGACTTGTGAGAGTTTGGTCCACCAGGCTGTTGCTTATCTTGAGGTTACCTTGAGGTGCTTCCGGGGCTTAGCGTCCCTGTGGCCCAGTTGTCGACCAGGCCTCCTGGTTGCTGAACTGGTCAACCAGGCTGTTGGATGCGGCTGCTCGCAGCCTGACGTACGAATCACAGCCTGGTTGATCAGGTATCCTTTGGAGGTGCTTATCCAGTTCTCTCTTGAACACTGTGAGGGATCGGCCAGTTATGTCCCTTATGTGTAGTGGAAGCATGTTGAACAGTCTCGGGCCTCTGATGTTGATAGAGTTCTCTCTCAGAGTACCTGTTGCACCTCTGCTCTTCAACGGGGGTATTCTGCACATCCTGCCATGCCTTCTGGTCTTATGTGATGTTATTTCTGTGTGCAGGTTTGGGGCCAGCCCCTCTAATATTTTCCACGTGTTCCGCTTGCAGCGGCCCGCAGGCCCACATACCCACCACAGCCCGGTTGGTACAGAACTCATTGGAGAAAACTATCTAGTTTTCTCTTGAAGATGTCCACATGTATGTGAACATACATGTCTCCTGTTTCACAATACATAAAATGCCATTTATTCATGTTAAATTCCATTTGCCAGGTGATGCTCCATACACACATTTTGTCCAGGTCTTCTTGAAGACTGTGTGTGTATATACTAAAGAATTCAGACACAAATTATCTCTGAAATTCTTCCTATTTGCTTCCCCAGGGCCATGGGGCCCCTATGGGGATATATATATATCTCAGAAAATATATATTTATTTATATTCACTCACACACAGCAAACAGAGTGGTAGACAGGTGGAACAAGTTAGGTGAGGAGGTGGTGGTGGAGGCCAAGACCGTCAGTAGTTTCAAAGCGTTATATGAGAAAGAGTGCTGGGAAGACGGGACTTAGGTAATTATAAATTTCCCATCCCCCCAAAAAATAGTTATTACTGTATTATTATACACAAGGATTAGAGGCCACAATTCTACATGTATTCGTGAACAAAACAATTACTACTCCAATTCACAATTCAGACAAATTAATAAATCTTTTCATTCTGATTCTTATAGAGTAATTCTTTACATAGTTTGTGTAGTGTGAACCTCATACATCTTATAACACAGTTTAAGTGCTGCATTGACTTTTAAAACCAAGTGACTATAATCTTGGTTCCTCTCTAACACTAACAATATTGTACCACCAAAATTTGGTTGAGTAAATAAACACACAATTGACTAAAAAGAAGCACACAGACGTCCTCAATTTTAGTGCGTCAGGATAAATATGAGCAAATGTCAAGAGCAAAACAAGAGCAAACCAAACAATGCAACATACAAACTACCCCACAAGTGCAGCCGACCTGGGACACCCATTAATGTCACTTGCGCACACACGCGCACACACCAGCATGTACACACAACCCTCGCATGCACACACACAACCCCTCGCACGCACGCACACACACACACACACACATACATCAGAATGTATACACAATCCTCTCACGTACACACCTGCACCAGCATATACACACATCACTCTTACATATAGAGCTCAATAAGCCAGGAAACGTGTACATCAGTAGATTGACAGTTGAGAGGCAAGACCGAAGAGTTGAAGGTCAAGCCTTGCAAGCACAACTAGGCGAGTACATCACTCACACTTGCATGCATGCACCAACATCATACCAGCAACTTCAACAACACGAGGTCTTAGAGTCAAACTAAGGAAACAAAGCTGCCAAAACAACATGCAAAGAGTGGTAGAGTGTGGAACAAGTTAAGTGAGAAGGTGGTAGATGCCAACATCATCAGTACTCAAGTTTCAAAGTATCACACGACAAAGAGTACTGGGAAGACGGGACACCACGAGCATAGCTCTCATCCTGAACCAACCCAACACATGAACCCAACTTGTCCTTTACTATTTACAAGGTAAATCAGATTTTCACTCCACAAGACCAGTCGATTCATCCAAAACCTGCTCAACGTACATATTCAACAACCTCATTCAACATTGTTCCAAGCGAAATATTCAACAAGAAGCTCAATTGATTCATCCAACACGTGCTTAATTAATTCACCCTACTCCAACTCAGCCCATTTATCAAACACCTGCTCAGTTACACAACATTTTGTCAACTAATTGAACACCTAATCATTTAATTAATGAATAGTTACTAATATGCTGGCCATCTAGTGACTGACCTAAAGGATTCCAATATCCTGGGCATTTTGATACTACATTTTAAGATTTACAATTTTCTTGAGGGGTCATTTTTCCTGACAAGCTGTTTGTTAGACGCACGGACACTTGACTACTTTCATTATTACTTTTCCACGGCTAGCTCGTATGGTACTTTGACAAACGTCACTACAAGGAGGTTGAACACAACTGTAGATGACCGCTTCGAAGAGCCCTCGAGTTGGGTTGGCAGTCAACATTTAGGGGTTTCATGGTATGAAGGAATCATCAGTTACCATGTACCCACAACACTGTAGTTAGAATGCCAAACTGGAAAGAGACTTTAATGGAGGTAACCTTGTGTTCTGAAGTGAGTTTTCATGGAGCCAAATGTTACCTACATGTTCTTCACCAATTGCTGTTTCAACTCTACAGAGGGTTCTTTTCTCAGCAAATCACTACTTTAAATAAATATTTACTAATATATCTACCTAGTTCAGAATAAAAAGCTCATGAGAGATGCACATTCCAAATTCTCTGCTTAATTTCACTGTGGCAGACTGCTCCAGATCTGGTGTTTCATTTTTGTGTGCCTAACAACAGAGTGTTTTGTGCTGGCTCGGAAGTCGCAGAGCGAGCAAAAGTACGGCTTCTCTCCTGTATGAATACGCAGGTGCCGCAGCCACTTGCTCTCGTACTGATCCACTCGGGGGCAATACGGACAGCGGTAGAGGCCACTTTGATCTGGTACGCCACCCTATAATGGAACAAATCGTGTCAGATTCGTCAAATCTTTCAGACGTGAGCAGTGTTAAGAATTCTTATTCATTAAATTGGAAATGACTAGTTTAAATTCTGTGAACATGGTAAGATGATATAATCCACAAATTCAAGGTCATGTATATTTATCTAGTGAATGAGCAGTCAGAAAATTATTTGACTGATGATGGCAACTTAAACTGACCGGATACGTCACACTTTAAATATGCACGCAATATGCACAGAGCCCCTCCTCCAACGTCAAACCTACAAACAAACCCTTAACGCAGAAACACTTGTGAGTTGCATAAATCCCCCGCAAATTCTCTTGATCCTCTTCAGAACTTTCAGCTACATATTGTTTCCAAACATGAAATAATCTTATCCACTATACACACACACACACACACAACCATAATCCAGATACACACGGTCTTATATCACAACTTTTGAATCCATGAATATATACATACAACTTGCCTGAGATCCACAGATGAGACAAAAACACCACCACACAACCTGGACAAAAACACTCCACACCACTACACAACCTGGACAAAATACGGTACACACCACCACACCATCTGGACAATATCACCATGTGCACACAATCTAGATATAAATAAAAAGAGACCCAAAGAGAGAGCACAACTGCTGTCACATTATGTGAATTAAGAAGATATACCTGGTTGATGGGGTTCTGGGAGTTCTTCTACTCCCCAAGCCCGGCCCAAGGCCAGGCTTGACTTGTGAGAGTTTGGTCCACCAGGCTGTTGCTTGGAGCGGCCCGCAGGCCCACATACCCACCACAGCCCGGTTGGTCCAGCACTCCTTGGAGGAATAAATCTAGTTTCCTCTTGAAAATGTCCACGGTTGTTCCGGCAATATTTCTTATGCTTGCTGGGAGGACGTTGAACAACCGTGGACCTCTGATATTTATACAGTGTTCTCTGATTGTGCCTATGGCACCTCTGCTCTTCACTGGTTCTATTCTACATTTTCTTCCATATTGTTCACTCCAGTACGTTGTTATTTTACTGTGTAGATTTGGTACTTGGCCCTCCAGTATCTTCCAGGTGTATATTATTTGATATCTCTCTCGTCTTCTTTCTAGTGAGTACATTTGGAGGGCTTTGAGACGATCCCAATAATTTAGGTGCTTTATTGCGTCTATGCGTGCCATATATGTTCTCTGTATTCCCTCTATTTCACCAATCTCTCCTGCTCTGAAGGGGGAAGTGAGTACTGAGCAGTACTCAAGACGGGACAACACAAGTGACTTGAAGAGTACAACCATTGTGATGGGATCCCTGGATTTGAAAGTTCTCGTAATCCATCCGATCATTTTTCTGGCTGTTGCAATATTTGCTTGGTTATGCTCCTTAAATGTTAGGTCGTCAGACATTATTATTCCCAAATCCTTTACATGCTGTTTTCCTACTATGGGTACATTTGATTGTGTTTTGTACTCTGTATTATGTTTAAGGTCCTCATTTTTACCGTACCTGAGTACCTGGAATTTATCACTGTTAAACAACATGTTATTTTCTGATGCCCAGTCGAAAACTTTATTAATATCAGCTTGAAGTTTTTCAATGTCTTCAGCCGAGGTAATTTTCATACTGATTTTTGTGTCATCTGCAAAGGATGATACGAAGCTGTGACCTTGTATTTTTGTCTATATCTGATATGAGAATAAGGAAAAGCAGCGGTGCAAGGACTGTACTCTGAGGTACAGAGCTTTTAACTGCACTTGGACTAGATTTTATATGGTTGACCGTTACTCACTGAGTCCTGTTTGACAGAAAACTGAGTATCCAGTGTCCTACTTTACCGGTTATTCCCATTGACTTCATTTTGTGTGCTATCACGCCATGGTCACATTTATCGAAAGCCTTTGCGAAGTCCGTGTATATCACATCAGCATTCTGTTTTTCTTCTAATGCCTCAGTGACTTAGTCGTAGTGCTCAAGTAGCTGTTGTTAAACATATAAATGTTTAACTTTTTCTGAAAGGCTTATCTGGTTACTGTGAACTGAATATGCAGGTCAGGGTGCACGCAGACCAAGGAGGTAGACAGGTGCATACACAGCTTGGGGTACAGAGGTACACATAGACCAAGGAGGTAGACAGGTGCATACACGGCTTGGGGTACAGAGGTACACATAGACCAAGGAGGTAGACAGGTGCATACACAGCTTGGGATACAGAGGTACACACATAGACCAAGGAGGTAGACAGGTGCATACACAGCTTGGGATACAGAGGTACACATATAGACCAAAGCAGTAGACATGCATACATAGGTAGACACGTCCAATTATCAAGTAACTTCAAACACCTGCAGATGTCTCTTGCATGTTCAGGATACAATCATGAACCATACTGGTACAATTGTAATACACATTTCTCTGTAATTTGCACTGTAATTTAGTAAGCTTCTGGACTGCGGGATCCATAATTTGAATACAAAATTCTCTCTCTTATGGAAGTGCTTAGACTGCAGGCATCATAATATGTAATATTCCATTTCTTTTTTATACCAATATAAAGCTAATTAATAACTTTTAGTAGCCTAAAATTTGAAAACTTAGTTGATATGTACACCTGTTGTTACCGTTTCATAAATACAGATACAGTAATAAGAAAATACTGCGCAGCAATTTCTAATCATAGAGAATACATTTACGATACAGTTTACTCAGTACAATAAAGTACCTGCGTATTATTAGGCATAAACTGTGTACACAAAAATACAGATACACACGGGTGGTGGCGGCAAATCTGTTTCCCGAACAATAATCTCGTATCATACCAGACCAGCACTACAGCACGTTGAATTGGGATTGTATTATTTTTCCCCCGTCCTACCAGAAAAATTAGTTTCACTTCAATAAATATATAAATATGTTAATAAACGTATATAACCACCAGGAATAATGTAAATAATTAATGCCATGGTCAAAGAGGTGTATAGATGGACTAATTCTAGTCATCTGTCAGGGGCCTGACAGCTGAGTGGACAGCGCTCGAGATTCGTAGTCCTGAGGTTCCGGGTTCAATCCCTGGTGGAGGCAGAAACAAATGGGCAGATTTTCTTTTACTCCGATGGCTCTGTTCACCTAGCAGTAAAATAGGTACCTGGGAGCTAGACAGCTGCTACGGGCTTCTTCCTTGGGATGAGTAACAAAAAAGGAGGCTTGGTTCCGCCACACATAAGGGACATAACTGGCCGACCCCTCACAGTGTTCAAGAGAGAACTGGATAAGCACCTCCAAAGGATACCTGATCAACCAGGCTGTGACTCATACGTCAGGCTGCGAGCAGCCGCGTCCAACAGCCTGGTTGATCAGTCCGGCAACCAGGAGGCCTGGTCGACGACCGGGCCGCGGGGACGCTAAGCCCCGGAAGCACCTCAAGGTAACCTCAAGGTTGGTCGAAGACCGGGACGCTAAGCCCGGAAATCATCTCCAGATAACCTCAAGATAAGAGATCCTGTGCTAGTTGTTAGTATGATTGCCAGCAACACTACTGACTGACTTGCCTACACAATTAGCTCGAGCCCTACCAGGCTAAACCTGGGTCTCCCTACTGACACTGTACATCCTCCCAATGCTGCTCTGTAGTTACACACAATGGTAGGAAAGTGGAATGCACTGAAGGAAGAAGTTGTTGAAGCCAATTCCACCACAACTTGAAAAGTAATTTGATGAAAACATTAATAGTGTATTGAGAGGGGTAATTATCCTGCCAGGTATAAACATCTAGTATGTGGGACACGATGAACTAAAGCCCACTTTCCCATTGTCGTCACTTCTATTATTCTCACATGTGCAGCTTGGGTGTCTAGTATTGTACTGTATGTTGACATAAAAGATCTTACACCTTTAATGTTTTGTGTTACTCTGTTGAGAGAATCAGTAATGTTCCAAATCTCCCACCCAACAATGTTGCCTACTCTCACTCAAGGCATTCATAGCGGTTGCCCATCTCTCACCTCCGACTCTGTTACCCGCCCACACTCAGGTGTTGGTAGTGATGTTCACCACCTCCCGCCCACACTCAGGTGTTGGTAGTGATGTTCACCACCTCCCGCCCACACTCAGGTGTTGGTAGTGATGGTCACCACCCCCCACCCACACTCAGGTGTTGGTAGTGATGTTCACCACCTCCCGCCCACACTCAGGTGTTGGTAGTGATGTTCACCACCTCCCGCCCACACTCAGGTGTTGGTAGTGATGTTCACCACCTCCCGCCCACACTCAGGTGTTGGTAGTGATGGTCACCACCCCCCACCCACACTCAGGTGTTGGTAGTGATGTTCACCACCTCCCGCCCACACTCAGGTGTTGGTAGTGATGTTCACCACCTCCCGCCCACACTCAGGTGTTGGTAGTGATGGTCACCACCCCCCGCCCACACTCAGGTGTTGGTAGTGATGTTCACCACCTCTCACCTGTGTCTTATGAACAAAACCTATATCAACCAAAGTTGTTTCCCTATAAGTGTGCACGTGTTGAACAGCACGCACCCTGTGCATGTGATGAGCAGTGTCTACTCTAAATGGTCCTTTTTGGCCATCAAAAAATATTTCAAAGTTATAGCATAACCAAAACTTGGCCCAACATTAGAATGCATTAAAATGCTTTCATGAAATGTTAGGATAAACTATGCTAAAAAATCAAGATCTGATACAAGTATTGTTGGTCATGCTGCACTCTACACCTCTCATCCACGCACCACACCCGACACAGGCACTCCATAACTGCTGCTGCGAGCACCACACCCAACACAGGCACTCCATAACTGCTGCTGCGAGCACCACACCCGACACAGGCACTCCAGTAACTGCTGCTGTGAGCACCACACCCGACACAGGCACTCCAGTAACAGCTGCTGTGAGCACCACACCCGACACAGGCACTCCATAACTGCTGCTGCGAGCACCACACCTGACACATGCACTCCAGTAACTGCTGCTGCGAGCACCACACCCGA